AATTAATGGGTTAGTTGATTTTTGTATCCATATCAATACAAAAATGTGTACAAATTCAAAATAATTACCAATACTTTCGTTATCAATATAAAGAAGGCCTATGAGTTTGTTTGTTTTTAGATTTCTTTTAGTAGAACTATCGAAAAAATATATACAACAACACCCACTACTACTGTTACTAACAGAAACAAAAACAACAACAATAATAATAATGAGAAGAAGAAGAAGAAGAAAAAAATAAGAAGCAAACATTGCGCAGCGTTTTGTCTCTGATCCTGCATGTACGTCCTTCCGACGTGACGTTTTAAATTGTTAATGTGGCGGAGTTTACTAATATACACCGTTTATTTTCTCAATGACACATGAGACTAATAAAAGGTCTCTGACTGTAAATATGGCAGAGCCCTGCCCTTAGCCTATTATAGTGTGTTTGCTGCAACTTGCGTTTATCTGCTGACTTATGTTGAGGTGGCTGTTGTTACTAACGTAAAGGAAAACCTTTCAAAGTATAAATCGTCTAAAATGTTGTCCTCTTGGCGTCACTGTTACACCGAGCATTCCATAAAGGAATTAGGTCCTCCCCTAAGAAGGCTTTTGTTTGATACCTCACAGCAAAGCTGATGTGAGTCGGATGAGGCAGTGCCATATGTTTTCTTTACATACTTTACGAAAAGCCAAGGATATATAAATTGAGCTTCCTGGAGAAATATGTTTTATGTGTAAATGTGTTGTTTGAGAAGAATGGCTGAGAGAACACGAAGCAGAACAGGCAACCGCTGTTGCTTTGCTTTATATTTGTCTTTGCTGCTGATTTTCGGAGAGCAGGTTTTCGCTGAACTGAGATACTCGATTCCAGAGGAGATGAAAGAAGGGACTATTGTTGGAAATGTTGCCAAGGATCTTGGTCTTGACAAAACCTCTTTGGCCGATCGTCTGTTACGTGTTGTATCGGGCTCTAAGGATGCGTTTTTCGAGGTGAATCCGGACAATGGAGTATTACTGGTTCGTAAGAAAATCGACAGAGAGGAACTGTGCCATGGAAGTGGTGCTTGCATGATAGAGCTAAAAATGCTTGTAGAAAACCCACTGGAAATCCACTATGTAGCTGTAGAAATTACTGATGTAAATGACCATTCCCCGAGTTTTTCTGAAAAACAGCAAACCTTTGAAGTAGGAGAACAATCATCCCCGGGAACACGATTGGAACTGCATGCGGCCCGTGATCCTGATGCTGGCATAAATTCTATCCGCACATATTCATTATCTTCAAATGATCACTTTGATATAGAGATTAGTCAAAGTGATGAGGAAAAAATACCATTTCTAATTCTGAAGAATTCCTTAGACAGAGAAAAAAAGCATAAACATTTCCTCTTTGTAACCGCGGTTGATGGAGGTAAACCTCCGCGATCAGGCACGCTTAATGTTTCCATTACTGTTCTTGATACTAATGATAATCGCCCGACGTTTAAACAGGATACTTATCAAATAGAAATATTTGAAAACGTTTCGGTTGGAACGACTGTTGCAAACGTAAATGCAACAGATCCGGATGAAGGGACAAATGGGGAATTAGAGTATAGCCTTAGTAAAACATTAGCGCGTAGAATTTATGAAATATTTGAACTGGATAGTGTAAGTGGAGAAATTACACTGAAAGGAGGGTTAGATTTTGAAGATTCGGAGGTTTATAAACTAGATGTGCAGGCGTCAGACAAAGGAACGCCTCCTTTAACAAGCAGGTGTAGAGTGATTGTGAAAATTAAGGACGTCAATGACAATCGACCGGAAATAGAAGTCACGTCACTGTCAAATACAGTAACCGAAGATTCAAAGCCTGGTAAAGTTATTTCACTTATCAGTGTAACGGATAAAGACTCTGGAGTTAATGGGAAAATTATTTCACGGATAACTCAGGGCATTCCTTTTGACTTAAAACCATCCTATAAAGAAAATACTTACTCAATTGTTACTAGCGGGTTTCTGGACCGAGAGGTGGTGTCACATTATGATATTACAATAGAAGCTACTGACTGTGGTGAGCCTACTTTATCTAGTTTTAAAACTCTTAGCATTCAGATAGCAGATGTAAATGACAACAGTCCACAATTCATGCAAAATCCATTACAGTGTTATCTGTCAGAAAATAA